TATGTTGTAGAGATAGTAAATAGAAGAACTTGTTCAGAAAATGTGACTTATCTGAAGGAGCTATTCAATTCCATCAGTTTTCTGTTTGTAATTTTATGAATTATGTTAGTTAATTTTCATAGTAAACCACGAGTTCCATTCTTCAGGATTGCATTTGCATTCACTGGCTTTAATCACTCCAGTTATAGACAGCCAAATGAACTAGCCCTAATGTTGCATGTTCTGATGTTGCCTACTGACTGAAACACTTCACTACACTGTGTGTTACAGTTCTTCAGGTCGTATTTGACAATTTGCCCCTTGAAGATTTGAGAAAAAACACATGTCACAGTCATAGAAGCTTTTTGGTGAATGCTCACTCTGTCATTCAGCTTGACTTGCTGAGCTGTTGTGGTAGGAAGCTACTAGCCATCTGTGACTCATACAGACAGACTCACTATTCAGGGTTTAATCTGTCCATGATTCCCATGATATGGTCATGATTTTAACACAAAAAACCAAAAAAAAAGCCAGAACATGATTACTTTGTGATTTCTTTTAGTTGTGAGGCCAAATGACACACCTCTAACTTGTATATGCATCTGAGTTGTGTATGCATCTGAGAGACCTAGAAGATATTTAGTATCTATTATTATCTCTGCAGCTAACAATGGGTGCCTACTTGAGTATCTCTCACTTTGCTTACTGATAGAAGCATGGCTGTCTGCCTGCTGGGCTCTGTGTCTTGTCTCAGATGCGAAAAATAGCAAAAGCAACAGTGCATCCACACCTCCAGCCCAAACTCTCTGCATTGCTGATGGAAGCTCTGCAGGCTGCAGAGCTCTGGACCCCCACTGCTATGGTGCTGGCAACTCCAGGTCTCTCTGCTTCTGCTTTCAGGATGCTAAAAGGAAGCTCATCCCAGACACAAAGCACTCCTCATCAAACAGACTTGCAACTTGGGATGAGCCTGGTCAGCTGCTGACACCCCATCCCAAAATGTTCACAAATATCTCCTCAGTTCCTGTTCCAAAGAGTTCTGCATCTTTACATCTGTCAGAGGTCCTCAGCTGCATCAGGAACTGTGGCATCTGAGTTACAAATACTGGGTACCTGTCTACCCTGACATACCTGGTTACCAGAGCCATACCTCATGCATGCCCACAGCACTGAAGTCTTTAATTCTCAGTCTGTCAATGGATATGAGATACCGGGCTGATCTAAAATAATGGATTACCTCAAGAGAAGGTGCAGGCTGAACTCCCAGCACCTGCACTACAAAGCCATGGCCTTACCTGTGCGTCAGATCCCCATGTGGGAAACCTAGGAAGCTTCCCCCAAGAAGATCTCACTGCAGAACTGGCCAACAACACTGAAACAAGATACTTTTGAAACTGTTCCTGCAGATACAAAAACAATCACTTGAGACAATCTTTTGTATGTACATAAGAGTAAGGAGATGTCCTTTGTTTAAAGGAATGGATTGTGATGGATTAAGGTGGATACGTAGGACCAAAGCAGCTTACAAGCGAGCAGAAGAGTGCGAGTCTCACCTGAGCATCTGCAAGGGTTCTGCAACTACAATTCCTGACACCGCTTGGATAGCAACTGACCCTGTGAGACAGGATCCCCTCTTTCCACTCGACTGGATGCCAGGTTCACAATAAATTCCATTAAGTTTGTTGCATTCCAGTAAGAACTCTAAATGTCAGAGGAAAAGAACCCCACTTCCAGAGTTCCTAGAGTCAACCGACTGGCATCTCACACGTCAGTCTGACTCACTGCTTATAAAGGGAAGTGCATCTCGTCCACATTTATAAACTCTATTCACTGCAATCATATTGAGCTAAAACTGGAACTCCTCACCTCCCCACATACACATTAACAGGTCTCTGATATGTCTCCAGCATTTATTTCTTCTAATAATCTTCTGCTCCCTTCAGTGCAGCCTCAATCAAGAGGGCAGATCATGATGTAAGGAGGAATCATTTTGTTCCAACATTTTCTCAGACACCATCTGCACTCTCTAGCAGATGAGGGTTTGAACCCTCATTCACTCTTACATTTACAGAATCAAATTACAATGACTGCTTTTGGTTGCTAGTGAATCAACATCCCACCAACCAGCCACAGCAGGACATAGCTTGTGAACTCCGAAACATTCCAAACCATCACTTTAACTTGACAAGTAGCATCTAACTTAGCTTTCCCACAAACTGCTTTAAAAAAAAAAAATAAATGTAAAATACATTTCATTTTTTCCCTACTGGTCCCAAAGATCAGTATTTTCTTTTCATTTTTCAATCCAGCTGTTTTCACCTTCTGACGGGTTCTACTTGCTTTTTGCTGCACTCAAGTACTTCATACAGAGGAAATTGCAAGCTGCTTTATTTAGACAAAGCCAACCATATCATTAGCCTACAACAAGAATAAGCCTTTTGTACCCTTAACAGTACAGCCAGATCATCTTTCCTTCTAGAACTTCATGTCCTCGATATCAAGAAGGTAAGTTAAGTTACACAAAATATCTGTGATTTACGTAACCAGCACATCCCCTGACATATGAGCCTGAACTTCAGACAAGCAGAATGTTGTTTTTTTCTACCTCTACATATTTACCCTGGGCACAGAAAAGATAAAACTAGTTCAGAATAATAATTCAGGTCTTTTGCTGAGTTTGCCTTAAGTACAAATAAAACTGATTACAATTTGGACCTTGATCTTTTACTATTTTTTTCAATGGTAGACTACACCGAGTCCCATCAGGGTAATAAAAATCCACCTAACACTCATGAAACAGCCTAGTGATACCAGTTAACTCTTGCAGCTGCAGATTTCACCAGCATTCAGTACAGAAATGAAAATCAAGTTCCTTGCAATAAATGCAATTACACCAAAGAACAGAAAATCTTTCTCCAAATTGGAGTCAAGTTGCAATGTACTAAAGGGCTGATTTAGAAAAAAAAAAAAAAGCAGAAATGAAATATCAGATTCTGCAACTTACCTTACAGCTCTTTCTCACAGAATACAGGTGTAATCTTCGGTCTCATCCAACAAACTTCTACTTTACTTCAGCAACCACGGAGTTAAAACTGAAGATACTTAGGACGCAGAGGGGGATTGGATTAGACATAAGGAAAAACTGTTTCTCTTGGACAGTAGTCAGGCACTGGAACAGCCTGCCCAGGGAGGTGGTGGAGTCTCCATCTCTGGCAGCGTTCAAGAGGCGTCTGGATGAGGAGCTACGAGATACGGTTTAGCGGCTTGTGGTAGCAGTGGTAATGGGAGGATGGTTGGATTAGATGATCTTGTAGGTCCTTTCCAACCTTGTGATTCTATGATTCTACATCACAGCCTGATGGTTAAAGGTTTCCTAGTAGAAAGACTGAAGTGAGGCAGATGCATTTTAGCAGTCAAGACATTGGGTCACCCCCACTGGTGCAGATTTTTGTAAGTGTGGCTGGCAGGCTCTTGCTTATCAGTGTTGTGTTTCAACTATGTTGAAAAAGCGTTTGTTAGAGCAAATTCTCAGCTACAAAACAGCATTACTATACTCTTCCTCTCTGTTGTAGTTTCTACAAAAAGAAATAGGAGGCACTACTTTCAGAGTGACCAATTTACAAGCAAAGCTGTCAGTGCTGTTCTCAGTACGATGACTTGGAATTGCTAAAATTCATTCAAAGTTAACTGATGGAATTTCATTAGACAAATATGGATTCAACTTCAGTCTAATTCAAAGTTTTAAATAATTAATCCAAACTTCTTCATCAAAACTAAAATAAAATTAAAAAAAAAGATCTACCTCCATCTCTGGAAACTAAGTCATACAGATGCACCCAAGTCCACTCAGTAAAATTACCTTTTATTTCACAAATGCTAATTGCTAATAAACAAATCAGAAGTTTAGACTGAGTCACTGAAACTTGTTTCAAAGACTTGGAGAAATGGACTTGATGAAATTTTTTTTGTCACTTCAACCCTTATTTCCTCTGTTTTGATAAAAAAAGAAGTAAATAGCAATGAAAATATAACTTTAACTTTACAGTTATAACTTCTTAAAGCTACACATCTTTGCATAAAAACCAATAAACATGTTAGTGTAAAAACAAAACAGAAAACCTCATTAATCTAGAAATTATTACAAAACTTTTTCACATTTATGTGATTCTCGAGTCATCAGTATCCCACTTAGAAAACTTTCTCAGATTATCACATTTTGCACAGACAATACAGTATTCTTGGATTCAGTCCAGATTTGAAGAGAATTTACTCACCGCTTTTATGAAAAATACGCTCATTTTAGACAAACAAGTGACAACTGAAAGCAACCCTGGGAGGTTTTCATATGGCTGATGAGACAGAATAAAATTAAGTTATGTGTTGAACAGCATTTAAAAGTGTGCTAGCAGATACAACAGGAAACTGGACACAGTAATTACAAACCTTTCAATCCAACTGCATCTTTGGAAAAGTCAGACTTTAAATATTACATTAACTTACAAGTTTTTAAATACATTTGGTAATACCTGCTGGAACACAGATCCTCCTTATTGCTTTGAAACACACAATGTTATAACTGAAACTTAGATGCTTATCTTAAGTTCTTAGGTGCCAAAATTAAAAACATCAAATAGAAGATGGTAGGAACAAAGGCACATGGTTCATTTATAAAACCATTTACAGAGTACTCAAATACTTATTTCTATCTACTGGGAACTCCTATTTATTCCTCTTGAGTACAAAAAGACAAGACTACTGAAATGTTATACAAGATCATCCTGAACAGATGTTCTCAAATGACACAAGCAGAGAATCTTACATATCATTAAATTATTTCTGGAATCAAATTTCCCACCTTGAGCAAGAAATTTCTTAATATTAAAGTTCATAAATCCATTAATCTTCTAAGCATAGATACTTTAGTGCAATCCTCTTTTAAAAGGTTGAAGCTGGAGCAGTTAAGGCAACCGACCAAAAGTGTTTTAAAATCCAGCACACAGCTTCTAATCATCAAGGTGCCTGGCAGTTATCTGTTCAGAGAGCTGCTTCTTGAAACCTCCATCCACACCGTCCTTCCACCTGACACAATACCAAACACTTTATACACATTTCTTCAGTGTTCTAGGCTTTTTGGAGGTGTGAAGGGGGGTGGAGTCTAACATAAAGCTAGTAGCTCCAAAAGCAACTCTTCAGATGGGTTAACAGGCTACCCAGCAACTCACAGATGTTAAATTTACTATATGTTAAGACTTTCACAGACTGCCAACAATCTACTTCTAAAAAACTCTCAGCAACTTCAAATGTAAGCACACTATAAAACACTGTTACTGCATTCTGCGCTCTGACAGTGTTCTCACATTCACTGTTGCCAAAAGCAAATTATTTTTTCTATCATGGAAGTTCACTGATTCACAAGAACTTAAAAAAAAAAAAAAAAAAAAAAAAAAAAAAGCTTTTTAAACACATCAACCATTTGGAAATCAACCATTTCATTCTGAGACTGCAGCAAACAAAATTTCACTCTTACATGTAAGTGGTTTCCATTCAACATTAAAAAGTATACGCCTTATTAAAAAATGACTAGTGCTGCCTATCTACAGTTGTTCAGCTAAAAATTTGGGTTATCAGAAGTGACCATCATTTATTGCATTATAAAATTTCAAAGAAAAAATCCTGCACAGCACGTAAACCGTTCTACTCAATAAACTTTCTCATGCATTTCCTACAAAGAAGATAGCAGAACTCAGCTTCCGCATGCAGGTATGTTTAACAATCACCATGCCATCTTTTCCTTCTTGCTTGCTGTCACTTCTCTTCAGAGGACACTTAAAGAAGTGGAGGAAAAAAAAAATAATCAGAAGAGTATGTCTCAGTTTTTAATGTGAAATATAAGTCAATTTATTTATGATGATAGTCATCAGAAGACCATACTCCCAGATGTAAAATACTTTTTTTTCTTTGAAAAAAGGAAAATCAATACACATTACTACAACCACAGATGCTGTGGTTTTTCTGCCTCTCTCTCCTTACATAAGTCCATACTGATGACAGAGCCAGTTCAAAGAAAGTCTAATCACTATCTAAATTAACAGGGTTGTAGTCAGGGTCATCTTCTTCATCCTCCAACTCTAAATCATCCATTTCTTGGAATAAAGATTCATCAACCTCCACGCTGTTTCCAGCTACAAAAAAGAAAAAAAAAATTACACGAAGAGAAAAAAAATACCTGAACAACAAAATACAGTCTCTGAACACAAACAGTACAAAGTGCATATATGCATATTATATATATACATATGTATCACACACACGCAATAAGGAACATCAGATCATATACAATTATCCTTTAAATTTTCTCCATGAGAAAATCTGAAAGGCAGATAAGTAATTCAGAGGGCACTGATATGTAAAAAAAAAAATACTATGGATTTAAATTTTAAAAGTAAGCTGAAGCCTTCTGTGCTGTCACACTTTCTTCTAAAATAGATAAAGCTTAGGAGCAAAACTTCAGAACCACTACTACTTTATTTGCATCTATCAATAGCGACATCTTCTGGCCACTGAACAAGGTTCTGTTTTTCACTGCCTTTGAAGGAGACTTTTTAACTGCTTCTATCTAGATAACACATTAGACTGTAGCAGCTGCAAAAATTAGTGTTAATTATCAATAACTTCAATTTAAAATTACAACACTAATCTGTGCAGGAATTTTTAAATAATGGACAGCAACAGGATTAAAAGTTAACATTAAAAATTATATTCCCATAACTTGGGAACAGAGCCCAAATACACAGAGTCTATTCTTCTCTTGAGGTAGAAAAACCCATCTTCACTTTAAGCACTTTAGGAGGAAGGCAAAGTTAAGCATGTCCTCTAACTAGAAGAAACAACTTCTTCATGACTGCCATTTCAAGTTTATATTCACTGATGTTTAGAACTTCATCATTCTTATACATGTGTGTTTCTGCTATACTATGAGATAATGTTACTGCAGTAAATAATTGCCTTAACTCACAATCAGTCTTTTGAACTAGGACAAAAAAGAAGGTATAGAAATAAAATAAGTAATATGTGACTGTGGTGGATTTATTTATCTCCAACAGTTTAACAGCTTTTGGCACAGACTTACAAAATTTTCAGCTAGGATCAGGGAATTTTCTCAGTAAATAAACTAACCTGTACAAAACCATAAAAAGGAATTGCGTTGCACAAAGGCAAGTAATATTTAATTTGATACACACGATGTTTTTTATTGATGTTGATCTTCAGGGAGAAGAAAAGAGAACTTTAAAAACTTTAAATGGAAAGAAATTTTTTTTCTGGGGAGAATAAAATTGCTTTTGTTCCATCGCCAAAACGTACTTTTCAGAAATGTTTTCCAGTTAAAAGTGATACTGACATAAGATTTTAGTCAGCATTAGAATGTTTACATGTTTTAAGCCACTGTCTTTCAGATGCAGAAACAAACAGAAATTTACCTTCCTCCAAGAACTGGATGTCAGATGTATCAAGGTTGTGATCCATTTCAAACAGCTGTTTCCCTAGAAGTTAAAAAGTATATATTTCAAAATGCTGTTTGGTTATGTAACTAACAATCTAAGGCAATAACAGTACACTACCTTAGGCTATACAGATTAACCAGTTTGAAATGTGGCTGGGAAAATTTACACCATCTCACAGTCTTTATTCAGTCCTCATCTTGTATTCTACAGTAAATCTTTGGGAACTGGACAGATTAAGCTACCTCCTTCATATGAAAATCAAGTTGGATGTACATACCAGTCACCAGCTCCAACTGTGAAGGAAGCATCACATAATGCAAAGCAAAGCCTTTCTAATTGGGAGGTGGGGAAAGAAAAGTTCAAGACATTCTACAAGCCTTTCCATCTACATTTGCATTGTTTTTTTTAATCTTCTATCAGGAAGACTGCTTGATACTTCAGGTAAAACACTCAAAGATACCTTTTTCTTCTACTGGAGTACCTCACAAAATCTGAAAATAAGCCTTTTTTACTTTTGTAAGGTGGAGTTCCTATAAACTAGACCATTAAAGAGAAAAACAGCATGATAACAATTTCAAGAACAAAAAAACTAGAAGTCTGATTTCTACTGAGCATTAGAAGGTACTATCATAGCCTCCTTTTGCCATGCAGCATTACCACACAATCATATCAGTTATGTTTTCTGATGTATTCAGGTTAAAAAGTGGATTTATCATCACAGGAGAACCAAAGTCCAAAGTTAAGCTGTAGAGAGTGTGGAGAATGCTATCTAAGACTTATTTTTGTATACAGGTGCTCTTAAAATCATTTCTTCTGCATTTTTTTTTCCAGTGGATAGAGTTTGGATTCTGCTGGATTGGGATCTACAGACAACACATCCTACAACTATAATTATGATAGCTCTTCTCCAAAATACTATAGGAAAACTACCATTCTCACTAGGCATCATAAGCTTGTTGCATCCACTAGACAGCCACTGTGTTTCTTCAGTTCGTCTGCAACATCCCAAACTCCTACATGCCTTCGAATAATTATAAGTCATGGCATGATCCAACACAAATAAGACCAATCACAACACTGCTCAGTGTAGATTCTTTCTGTTGTTTGATAATCCCCAGCTATTTATGCCAGAGCAATACTCATCAGCTGGAGCTCAAAGCAGTAGACTGCATAAAATCAAAAGAAGCTTGAATACACAGCTTAGGAATCTTAATGACTTCACTAGAAATCTTGACCCACCAAAGAGCTCAAGACTTGGAGAAACATAAACAATAATAATTTAATATTGCATTAAAATCTTGTTTACTATTACCATCTTTCAATGTAAGAATTATTTTTAAGGCTTATCATGATAGTCTGAGAACACTGCAGTTTCAGGTACAGTTTTAAGTCATACCACTTAATTTATTTTTGCCTGCTTGTTCTTCTTCTTTCATCTTTTTTCTTTTTATTTCTAGGAGTTCCGCATCAAACTTTGCTTTCCAGTTCAGAAAATTCTCGATTGTAACAGGAGTGCCATGAAAGCGTTGCTGAAAAAAAAAACCAACAGAAAACAAATATGATCAATTAGCAAAACTAGGAGTGAAGATGAGCATTCTCTTCCTTACTTACATTGCAGCATCCCAGAAGCATTTGCTTGCTGTGAAGCATTCTCAGAAATTAACTCTAACCCCAAGTACATACAAAGAACACATTCTTGCTTGTTTCTATTCTCCACATGGGTCTCTCCCTTCAGAGAGCTGCAGAGAGGTGGAAATTATAGAAAAACACCAAGTAATACATTTGAACCTACAGTGCAAAAGCTTGTAACATATCAATAATGAAGGTTATGCTTAAGTAGGCAGCACTTATCAACTCCTACATGCAATCTAGACTGAAACTTTCTATAAAAAAATAGATTAACTGTTCTCTCTCACTGACAGACACAAAGGGTTGGCAGGGTTTTTTTTTCCTACTATTTCAGAACACCAAATATTTCATGTTTCATCACCCTCCAGCTACTGAAGAAAGTACATAATCAGTAGTTAATGCAGCACATCCCATGGATAGAAAAATTATTCCATGCTGATTGATGGAAAGTACCTGTGCAGGGAGGACAAACCACATCCTGAAGACTGGTCCTTACTGCTTCTGCTCCACAAAGGAAGACACGCTTCTTCAGAACAAGAGCAGTCTGTGCACAGCACTACATATTCTATCCTTTTTTACTTCCCACTTCAAACAAGAAACTGACTACAGAGACTTTGTTTTCACTTGGGAAAAAAATCCCTGCCCCAGTCTTAGGAAGCAATGCTGGAGCAACATGCAACACGTATGTGAAAAGACTGCTTTAGAAAGTGAGGGAAAAAATAAAGATCTTTGAAGTGCAATGAACTACCTTGTTCTAGTTAATACCTAAAGGCCACAACTTTGGGCTAGATGTTACTCTTCTACTACAGCTCAGAGTTGCTTTGCACCAAGCCCATGCATCAAGTTAAATCTTTAGTTAGAAAAAATATTTTACATACTTTCTCTTCTTCTTCTGCTTCTCTTTCTTTCTGTTTCTTTTCCTCTTCTCTTCGTGTTTTTATTTGATCCACTATTTCATTTAATTTCTCCTGTACTGCAGACACTAGAGTGAAGATCATTACCATTCCCAAATTTTCTTCTGCCTACAACACAAAAAAGGCAAACTCAAGCAGGAGAACCCTATATCTTCAGAAGCTTAATACATATATCTGTTCAGAAAGCAGAATTGTGTACATACACACAGATAACACAGCTGAGGTACTCTACATCCATTTCAAAGTTCACTGTAAAATCCAAGTCAATTGGCCAGATAAACAAGTTAAAGTCACTCTCAAATGAATGAGTAAGTAGCTAAACATTGATGATGATAATGATATGTCATCAGCATATTCTAGACACCAGGGGAGCTTCTTCATGGATTAAAAAAAAACTACAGTAGGAATACAAGTTTATAAAATTTAGATTTTAAGAAACAACAGACACTCAGAAACTATGTTCTCCCTAATTCCTTAATCCCTTACTCCCTTACATATGTTCCTTTCAGGTGGGACACAATCAAAAATCACCAGCTGCTGGAATAAAGGTGTAAAATGTAAACTAAAAAGAAAATGACTTTACAGCCATTTTAAGGCAGATAAGATTTGTCAAGAAATATTTAAGTCAACAAGAATATTTCCTCTATATACCTTCACAATGCACTGTCACTGATACGAAGGGTCAAAGAGTACTTTTTCTCGATCCAAAATACTTATGTTATTGAAATGTAGCTTTTTTTTGTTTCTTTCCAAATAAAACTGAACTGAATTAGCTTCACAAATACTATTTATACACAGTTAAATGAATTCATCTTGAGTTAGAAATGCTAGGAGGGGAAGCTGTAGAGCCCTTCCATTTCTTTATTTTACATGTGCACACTGAAATTAGCTCTGTATTTTACGTTAACGTCATTTACATCACTAATGCCATTTACCAAACCCAAATCTCAAAGTCAGCCCTTACAGTATGGAAGGTATTTCAAATCAGTAAGTCATCTCTCAGAAGACAACTGAATTGAGGGATAAATTCTGACTAAATCAAGTGATATCAAGATAAATTGAGATATTCCATTTTACTTACCTGCTGTTCCAACAGGTTTATTATGCCTGTGACATCATTATCTTCAAGATTCTCCTGAGAGACAATTTCATAAAGGGGAGTTTCATCAGGGTATTTTTCTCTGTAGGTAAACTTAAGGGTTGTTTGGACATCTACAAGACAAAAAAAAATACACATTACAGTGATTATCTTACAGAATTATAATTGTACATTTTTCTGTTGCATCAACAGCCTAAGTATTTTAAGATAGGAAAAAAACTTGTCTTAAAGGAACAGTCATCTTACACACATATTACATCATACAAAAAAAAATTAAGTATAATGCAATATAATACCACTAAGACTGAAATTAACCCTTACATAAGCTATTCCAGACTATTTATGTCCGAGAAGACTTTAGAAAGAGTGCAAATTTTTCTGTGGCACAGTGGGTACCAGTGTGATAACCTCTTTTCCCTGACATTCCACTTAATGCTGGAGAAAACGAAGCAAGAGTCCTAACAACAAAACCTAGAGAGAATCTCAGCATATTACTGCTTTAAATTCTGCACACCTGGTTGGAGCAACAACCAGTGTGGTAGTTAACAGCTCCACATACAACATACGACAAAAACATAAATGCCCATTAGACATTAATAAGCAAAGAGGAAAACTGCCTAAGGAACACACATTCAATCTGATGTTACTGAAAGCTAGCCTAGCAAGGAAATAAGGCCAGAAAGAACTACATTCCTTCCTTTCATGCATCTTGACAGAATACCAGTTCCTTCAGTTCATGACTCACAGTTCTGGCAGCTCAGTTCTCCCTTTAACACACACTTGCTCCAGACAGGGCTTACTCCTTTAAAACCGAAGGAGATGGCAGCAGTTTCTTTCCTCTAACTCATGAACACAGAATAACATCTCTCAAACTTATCTGGAATGAAATTCGCTAAAAACAAATTCACGTAATCACTGATACCAAAAGAGCAAAAGCATTTTTGGACATGCCAGAGGGCAGAAGTACTTCAGAGTATCATACAGACTTTCCATGCCAGAAGAGCACCAGATGCTGATGGAACCATAAGCAGTCAGTCCTTTCATAAAGAGAAGGTGCTTAGGACAGATACTTCACTAGACAAAAGAGCTTTCTGCATTTGCAGCACCTTATTTTAAAGTAGTTCAGAATATGTTTTTCTCCATCTTAAAAAGATATATTGGAAGAAGGAATAAGGATATCTTCCACTGAATAAGCCACTGCTCTGAACTTCGCTGCAAGGAACTGTTCAGGCTATCAGCCTAAATGGTTATCTTTCAGAAACTGCTCCACAACAATAAGCAAATCAACATTTATGGCAACAGGCACAGAAGAGACCAACCATTCTGGTGCCAGTATGAACAGTTTAGGCAGGTTCCTAACGCTACATGAACAAAAAACATCACAATCAATATCCACAACTTTTATATACTTGAGAGAAAGATCTTTATTCTTACCTACCTCTTGCAAGACAGCAACAATGTTTCTTACAGCAGCTTCATAAATGTAAGATACTTAAAGAAGAGGCAGACTTTGGAAAATAGCCAAGTATATGGAAACACACACTGAAACAGCTTATATATACACATACATATATATATATATATAAAAATATATATAAACTGGAAAGTTAATATGCAGGAAGGGAGGTTATTCTACTTAAGACATAATGAACTTACTTTCATCATTTTCACCTGCTTCCGATGTCACAGTAATTGTGAAGGTCGTTGGCTTTTCTGACAACACTGTTAAAAAAAGAGAAAAAAAGATATGTTAAATCAGAAAACTACTTTACATAATTAAAACTGAATTTCTCTAGGACTAGTAAGGTAAACAAGCCTCTTGATACAGTGTTAGAAGCCTTTAAAATTCATTAAAGGGTGCTTTCTAGTTAACTGCTGTTTTCTACGTGATGTGATGTTTGAAATTCTCTCTGAATGACAGCATATAACATCCACAATAGCAAGAAGTTAGCAAGAGTACAGACCTACCTACCACTAAGTGACTTGAACTAGTAAAAGCAAATATAAGCAGAAAGGTTCCAAAGCCAGTTCGCTTTATTGTGCTAGATAGGTGCAATGGGTATCCAGTCCATCCAGTATATCTGTTCCTACCACTGTATTTAGGGCGGCTTGAAGTAGAAAATGATTCTTAAAACAAAAAAATGAGATGGATGATGCTTTCCTTCAAGAGTTCTGGAAATAACCTAGAAAAGGGGGGAATTTAAATAGTCAGTACAAAAAATTAAATCCATCAGCAACCATGTTCACCTGTAAAAGTGAAGTAAGGCTTTGTTTATTGCCCACCTGTGAAGGAGGCAGCTAAAAGACAGACAGTGGCTCTTAACAGACCAAAAAAAAAGGCAAATCTATATTCTGCTGTCATGGAATAGATGGTTTTACCTCATTGCTAAAGCATGCACTGCAGGTGAAATCCCTGACTAAGGATTGTTCTGTACCACTGCTGTAAACTATAACCAATCTAGTATTTGTGATCTAACACTGTTAACTGAATTTTGCCCAACTGCTTACGTACCACCACTACAGCCTTTTGTGCTCCCTCTTCTTCATGGGCATAAGTGCATTATTACCCGAGCAAACAATAAATCACAATAAACACTCGACTACGTGAAAGCGTATTAGTCTCTGACTCAGCATCCTCAGCGACAGGACACAGGTCCACGTTGCTTTAACCTAAAAACGAAGCATCAGAAGCGTTTCCAGATTAAAGCAATAAACAAACGCAGCGGGCAGACGGCGGAGCGAAGTTAGCGCGGCTAAGATGAGGCGGGACGTGGGGCGAGCAGATACTGCGCAGGTAGGAAGGAGAGAACGTGCAGAAATCTCACGCACAAAGCCTTCAATCGCTGGACAACCGAGAGCACATCCCGCGCACAGACCGCCCCAGTCCTGGAACTGAGGCACCCCGGCACCACACACGCTTAAGGACCCCGGACACCCCACGCTCCACTCAACCTTCACCCCGAGAGAGCCGTAAGAAAAGGGGCGGCAGGCAGCGCCCCGTACGCGACCGGGCCTCCATCACCTCGCCGCGGCCGTGCGGCAGAGCAGGACCCGCTCCGCGGCTCACCCGTGAACGAGTCCGGGTAGATGGACTCCAGGGCCTCCAGCTCGTTGCGCTGCTCCTCGCTGTAGTCCGTCATCGCCGCCAACGGCCGTGGGCCGCGCACACCGCATGCGCGCCGCCCGCCGGCATCGGCTGGTGGTGCCTGGCGCCGGCCGCGCGCGACTCGCTCGGCAGTGGATTGCTTTGGGCTGAGGGCGGCGCTCAGCGCGGGGGTCGTGGGTGTTGGCGGCGCCTGGCTTTGGTCTTCTCTTGTTTTGTTTAAATCCGCTTTCCTTGGGCAGCACGCTTAAGCAGCAGTAGTTGAGGAGCTTGAGGTTCAGCCCCTGTTGCGTGGGCACCTGCGGACTCTACACGGAGAGTTCAGCATATGCAGAGTTACTTTAAAAAGACATCGCTGCTGTTGGATCGATGTCGTTCTTCGGTTGGAAACCCATAGGGGGCAGTAGGCTGAAGGGTATTCAGAACTTGAAAGATAGTCAGAACTTGCTCTAGGGGCAGCTGACTGACACCTCAGAGCGAAATTGGAAGGTCCTCTGGGGTAGCAGGTAGCGCAGGTTGGAGTTACAAAGCACCAACAAACATCTCGGGGGTTTTCACAGTAATTTCAGGAGTTACACCGCACAGATGGCATAACTGTGTGAGCATCGCACAGAAATCAAAGCTGGCACACTGTCACCCAGTGTGGGCTTCCTGCAAGGGTGGGTTTAAGGGTTAATCGGCACCAGACACCAATTGGCACTTGTTGCATTGCACTGTGTAAGGTGCATCCACTTCCTGCATTTACCACTGGCAGTTTTCCCTCAGACGTATTTTTACAACCCTGGGGTTACAGGAAGCTTTCCTTTGCTGTAGAAATAATCATTTTCAGTCTGAGTGAGCAAACTGCAGTTCTAAATTGATTTGGGGTAAGATGACGCCAGTGTTAGCAGACACGGGCTGTTCAGTGCCCTGTGGATTTTTCTCTAGCTCCAAATTCTTTAGGAAGTGATATCTTATTTCATTACCAATCCACAACATATTTCAGGAGCAGAGAAATGAAGTGAAATGCACCGTAAATCATAATACTATAGCTGTATTTAATGCTATGGATTAGCATATCCCAACAAGACAATGCTATGCATATTAGCAGGCTAAATTCACAATGACAGCTAAGGTTTGTTATTCAGATTTTTTTTAAATAAACTCTAAAAAACAAAGGAAAAACATCAATTGAGACAAAGCTAGATTCATTTTAAAAAGATTCATTTTAAAATTACAGTTTCACTACAAGTAAGAAAGGTTAACAGCTCACTTTCTCTTTTTTCAAATTCTGCATCATTTCATAGTGGCACTGTAAAACAAGGTACAAAGTAGAAGAAAAATCACAACAGGTAGCAGCTAGCTTTTGTTACTCCAATCAGAGAGGGAGGAGAAACTTTCAGATACACAAAGCAGCTGTACATTTTCCAGATTGTGCATAGTGTTCCATCTTCAAAAAAAAAAAAAATCCACAAACCAAAACCAAACACCAATGAATTTAAAGTGAAATTAGAGATTGTATTCCCTAACAGATGCTTTGCTTCCTAAGCTGATCATACATACCATGCAGTATAATAGAAACTTTAGGATTCAAGTGAAACGTGATATTTGTAAAATTTTCAGTGATATATGCATTATTCCAGTTACTCAGCATATTCAGCTTTTTCAAGTCCATGTTTAGAAGTTCCTCAAAGGAAGAGCAAACACACTTAAACAAGACCTGCTACTTAGCATGCTCTCAACTCCTGTACTTTGTAAGGGAAAGTGCTACATGTATTTTTCTATTTTAAGACTGTTCTTTTGTTGTTGTTTTTAAATAAAATAACAAAAAACAAAAAACAAATCCCCAGTAGGTTGCATCCTATGTCCTAACCTATAGGTAGATAGCACACAGTCCACAGGCCGCATGCCAATTCAGGGAGAAACGATGACAGCAATAACTGTGGGCACAATAGTATGACAGAATTTTAACATTTTCAAAGGCAAAGCAAATTTGACTTCAGAAGGATATTTCCCCACGTAGTAGGTCAGCTTACTTGTAAAGTCAGACACAAAATAGGAAACTGACCTTGCTACTGCTTCCACTTAGGAAGCGCTCAAATTCAAGTTTCCACATGTAAAGTGTCCTTTTTGTTTTCTTCCCCCCCCCCCTTCCCTTCTTTCTTTCCTTCCCCCTCCTCCCCTTTTAACTGCTATATGATTCATCCCTCCTTCTTGCACATCTCAATTCTGCTAAAAATATCAAGTGCCCACTGAAAGTTTTCGAACCACTTTATCTGTACTCAGCCTTGGTTGAGGAGGTGTTCTATCCACATAGGAGAAAGTGGAAGAGGAAAAATGAAGTATTTGTACTGGAGGTCATTAAGACAAAACTAGATATCTTCTACTTCATACAGAGTGGATCAGGCTCATAGGATCTAATCATTCAGAGTCTACTATTAAAGGTTTTTTAACAAGAGGGAAGAGAAAGCATTTGAGTATAGCTTTCTTACTCAGTGAAACTGATCTCTTTTACAGAATTGTTAGAAAGTGAAGCTACAGCTTGAAACATCCCACCCCAGTCAGATGAGGCCTCTGACCTCTGCATCTCACAGGAGTCATACACCATCAGGAGCAGTGTATAAGCATCTGAAGATCTACATTAACAAAGTACTTATTCATGTCCTTTATGTAATAAGGTATTAGAAAGCTCCATCGCAGTTCAGGTCTAAAGCAGAGCTAGACACTCCTGATTTTTCCACAAGGTGTTGGCAGGGACTCAGAACCTCACAGCTAAGTTATGGTCAGGGGTCTTCATCAAGCTTCAGATATTTTCTGTCTGCTGAGTCCTTGAGTGCCCAGTCATGGAGGAGGCTGTAGTCGTAATGCTCCTCATCCACTAATTTTAGGAAGGCCAGTCCAGAGATAGCTTGCCACTCCCTGAGTGATGGGATACGGATTTCATTTATATTTTCATTTCCTGGGACAAATCCAAAGAACTTCTTTACATGCTTCATGGCATAGAGCTTGGAGTGCTGGTCTGTTGCTTCATCAAAGAGCTCCTGCTCATTACGGACATAGCTGGTCCAGTACCTGAAGTGCAGAAAGCTGAGCGGGGAGAAGCAGCTTGCCAGACAGTAAGACAGGAAGACAGTGATGACTACCACAGCAATCAGAAGCCAGCCTGCCACCTTCCAAAAGCAAACAAACAAGATCACAGCTGAAAAAAACCTACAGTGGTACTTTCTGGGCATAAAAAATAAAATAAAAATCTAAGACAATCTTTACTTGCTTTTCCTGAATAAGGAGGCTAGCAGAGAATAAGCATGGCTTGTATCTATTCCCATCACACCCAGTCCCTGACTACTGCAGACAGCTGTGTCATAAATTCATTTCTTCCCATCAAGTTTAAGGAAGACCTGATGAATAACTTAAGGATATCGCCCCTACAGCTACTATTGTGAATCTGCAACATAGGAACCCTCTAATTCCTAGCCCAAGTTACCTTGTGCAATATTTACAAGCAATTTTCCTTGAAGTAATAATCTTAACATTCCTCCTACTTCTAGCTGGAATATTAACTTATAGATTCAAGTCTGACCTAAAAAAAAACAAAAACAAACAAAAAAAAATCAGCAACAACAGGACTTTGGTTTATGTGGAGCTCTCACAGTCTGGACCCCTTAGTCACATTTCTTATGCTTGAGTACAAGAAGCTTCCTTCCCTTTAGTGACTCTTGAACTTCCATTTATCTTACGTGGTAGTGCTTCTCAAGATACAAGAATGCATCTTCCAGTAGCAAAGGTCAGAAGTAATATTTACGTACTGGATTTTCAATTCCACCTATGGGAACAAGGCAGGCTCCACAAAACACAGAAGAGATTTAGTAATCAAGGCAGAAGACATCAATCCCGTTCTATCCTCACCCCTTGTCTGATGAATAAACTGTGGTGTTATTGCTAGATCTACAGACAACAGCTTTCACAGCAGAAACAATATAGATTACTCACCTGTGACTGGTACCGGAGCAGGAGGATCACTTCATCTCTCACCCTGCTCAGCTCTGGTGGAACTAGCTGACTACAAGGAAACGCAGCCAAAATCCTCTGGCGTTCACTAATAGTCACATTAGGAATATCTCCATAGTAATACACAGAGACATACTCACTCACAGCACACACGTAGTAGGAGCCATTTATCAGAGTGACTGCTAGCCACGTCACTGGAGCAACCAGTGCTCTCCCAGTGATACTGCACAGTACAAAGCAGGTCAGCTTGCACTGCAATAACTGATTCCATGTGCTCTCCGTCAGGAGAGGAGACCTCTTGCCTGTAACCAGCCTCCAGGTCTGGTTGTTCAGAGCATAGCCAATAACCAGAAGAATCAGTGCAGGAACGCCCAGGAAGGCCAACCCATAGATGAGGTTCTGCCCCACATGACAAGGACAGCTGAACGTAAAGAAAGAGAAGAGTTGCTGCCCACCAATTGTCAGTATTGCAATTATAGCATTAGCAATAACCACCTCTTTGCCTTTCAGAAAGGTTAGCCACTTTGGAAGGAAGGTCATTTTAGATCTCACTGTTTACCAGATAGATCCTCTTGCATTAAGTCAATGATAGATTAAGTCAATGATAGCTTTTAGTTATAGATAACTGATATTAATGGTAGACTAGAACAGAAACAAACCAATCCCAACAGCTTAAAATGTAAAACAACAACTAAAAAAACCTCTAACACAACAACAGCAGAAAGCCTACTAGTCTTTCTTCTCTAATTAGCTTCTGACTGCTCAATAAAAGACATAGCCTTGTTTACTAGCTTTTATTTACTTGAAGATATTCAGTCATGTGTTTTAACTGATCCAGTAATTTCTCTCAGCGGTTTGAGGACATTCATAATTTAGGGAACTGTGAGCTCTGCCAGCTCATTGCTAATTGGCTGAAGCTACCAATCAGTCCTCACTGCCTGATGGAGGACAGGCAGTGCCAGCAAATTAACGTCTATCCTGCCAGGGTTAATTGGTCAGCTGTTTTGCAATCAATGGTAATTAGCAGAAGCATGGCATGAGGTTAGGAAAAAAAATACTGAAAAAAAGAGTAAAATGGATTGTTTTCAACTATTCTTCATTAAAAAAAAAACACACAACAACCATTGCCTTGCTAAGTGGACTGATAAAGGATAAAGCAGCAGAGATATTTTAAAATGCTTCAACATTAAAATAAAAATGGAAAATATTCAATAAGCTGCACAAAATTGGGAATCCCAATTCTGTTCACATTTAGTGGTATTTCCGGTTCTGTTTCAGTTTGCTGCTGGACCATGAGGATTTTAGCGTGTCACTTGCAGGGGCAAGAAACTACCATGTCTCACTTACTGGAAGTACTGAACAATACTTTATGCTATCTCCTCCAGAAAGATTTTCTTTGACAATCTATAATCTGTTGTTTTCTGCCAAGTCATCTTCAGATGAACTTGTGGTAACAGCTGGCATTTATATAGCATGTTCACAATTTGCATTTTTCAGATTTATATATGTATCATCAATCCCATGCTGTGGACTGAGGTAGATAGAAATTAGACATTTTCAGAGCTGGTTTCTAAATAGTGAAATGCATGATCTGGGCTCTTAGCACCTCTTTCAAATCAAGCCTTAAATACAGGTTCATTTAAAACATGTCACTGTGATGATTTTCTTCAGGTTGCACTTTGTCTAAGTCTTGCTGTCTGGCAGTTCTGTCTATTTCATACTCCAGTCCAATTTGGTACTGAATATGCAAACACTTGTGGGGATTTAGGTTTTAAGAAGTCTAACTGCCTGTAATCCAAAGGTTTTTACAAAGAGCAGGAAGAAGATCCATACAGGCTATGAGAAAATTTATACAGATGATCATATGCAACTTTCTTGTGCTTGACTGCATGACGTAATAGAGTCTGACAGCCTCCTCAATACCCATGAGGAGCAGTTGCTAATAATAACTTCCAGTATAAAAAGTAGTTTTAGCACTCATGGTATCTGCTTGGATAACAGAAACACTCTTGTTGACATAGTGATGTCTTTCCTGTTTTCTAGGCAAGACCCTATTTCTTTAGTGCATTTTTGGGGTGGACATCTGATTATCTAATATACAAATGAGGCCCTTGCTGACCTTTGGCTCACAAAACTGTGTGACACTATTACACAAAACTTAAAGTAATAGAGATATGTGATGAAACATTTAGCAGCACTTTGTCTCTGCTTTTCTGGACTCTGCTGATAAGTTCTTGGCATTTTGGGCAGTGTAGTACCATAACAGATTTCAGTACTTTCTGAATTCTTTTCAGAAACACAATATTTTCAGTACTTTTTCTTTCAAATTAGTGATATTATGTTTTGTCAAAATTTATACCCTTCAGGTTCAGTAGAACAAACTTGTGTGGTTCTCACAGAATTATATTGAAGCTGTGTTTTATAATATTCTTTAATTTTATGTCAGTTCATTTTCAAATTTCCAATAATTGCTACTGAACTCTCTTTTGGAACACATTTTATTTACTAGGGAAGCAGGCTTTCCCACACAACACTTGTTTATTCCAGAAGAACATTAGACGTGAAGCTGAAGAGGTGAAAAATACTGAAATATTCATAGTCAGCCTAAGGCTGTTAGTGATGCAATTTATATAATCAATTGAACAACTTTGTNNNTTTTTTTTTAATGTTTTCTTTCATGTTGTGCTGGAAAAAAACCCTGCTGGGTCATCCTATTGTGGAACAAATTACAATGTTGGATCCAACTGAGAGTTTGAGCGGCACATCAAACCTTTGAGTAGTCATCTTTGTAGAGGAACCTGGTGTCTTGAGTAGACATCTTGTCTCTTTATCTGATTCTCAGGAGGAGTTAGCACTGAATGCAGTCCAAGATACCGCAACTTCTTGTGACACCCGGCTCTCCTCTAAGGCAAAGAGATGCTTGTAGCTGATGTCTGAGGCAAGAAGCAATACATGGGCAGGCAAAGCTTTGTCATGTTCTAGCTTGTCATTTTGCAGGATTCTCTGTCAGCTAAAATTCACTGCCAGGAGTCTCAACAAACATAAGTGCTTGTTCTGAAGACGTGAAAACTGTTCTTAGGCTACATAGGCTAACCAAGCAATTTCTGTCAACTCGTGCTCAAAATTCTTCTCAGATAGGGCACTACAGGAAAATGGCAGCAATGGCATTGCTTTCTTCATTCTGCTGCCGAAGCAGCAGCCACACTGGCATTTGAGAAAGAGCACTCACTTGTGATGAGAGAGACATGCTCAAATACATTGATTGTTTTTATGTAGCTCCAAATACCACATCACCTACCTTCTCAAAGTTTGAAATCAAATTTATGTGCAAAATATTTAACACAACATTTATCAAGTCAAAGACGAGCAAAAATAAAAAAGCCCAGCCCGATATTGCACAAATTTGGACCTGTCTTTGGTGGGAAATGTATTTTATTTTGGTTCAAATAAGTTTTTAAGATACTGAATGCATTAGTGAACCTTATACTGCTCTGCACTCTGGAATATTTCTGTCTGGGAGAAAGACACTGGACTAATGAGGAGATCACATACTTAGCTCCGGAGGTTTCAGCTTTGCCATAACAGCCAATCTACTGTAAGAGGCAGGGACCTGGTGCCCATGTTTATGCATGCTTTTGAACTTCAGGAGATATTTTGTGTGTATTTATTTTCAGTTAAATGGGAAAGGAGGGAACTGTTATGGTGCTCAAGCAATGTGTCCTACACGAAGTTCTTGGGGCTGAAGGCAAAAACCCTCTCCTGACAAATGCAAAAGGGAGGTAGAGGGCCATACTGACTTCCTCACTATTCAAATTACCTTGGATATATTCTGATAAGTCTATGCTAAGTCTTAAGAAACAGCTGCCAGGTATGTGTCAGTCTCTACACTTTACATGGGGATGCAAAGTTAGACAGCAGTTAAAAATCATGAAATGGTTTTCTCCTGAAGACATGGTTTCAATCCACCATTGACTCAACTCTCTGGAATAATCTATTTTCAAGTTTATTCAGACACAGCACTGAGCTTCATTTTCTGTAGTGTGTGCAACCTTTTGAATCATAGCATATACTCTCTAATACATCCCATTATCTGTGAGAAGGTACATATGTACCTGTGTGCACGTATCACATATTTCACTTTCTGCTCTGCAGTGTTCCTTCATGATTTTAGTATTAATAATGCAGGCTAAAATAATTCATCCTTATACTTGGAACTGGATAAATAAAATGGTGTTCATTTATGGGCAGCCTTAAGTGCTTTGTGATGGTTTCACTGCAGATAATTTATGCTAATGATAATCTTTTAGAGCTGTTTTTTAAAATGCTATGCAGTACATTTTCCTACAGAATATGGAACGTCTCTTGCTCGGTGCCTGTGGCCAGTTGGAGACAATCTGGGAAACAAATCCATTTCAGACTCCATTTAGAAATGCAAGTGATTATCTAGAGAATTTTAATGCTGACTTTTATAATTTACTTACAATTAGATATGGAAAGTACCTACAATATTTTGACTTAGGAAATGGAGTCAGTTTTTACAGGGTCAGAAAAGTGCCTAGAAAAAACTGTACATACAGTTGTCAACACCATCTCATTCTGGGTAAAATGAAAGCTGCTAGAGTGGCTATGTTTCACAAGGAGAGGCTAAAAAATGCTTATATTTGTCCTATTTTTTTTTGCTGACTTATGTCATTATTTTAAACTACCATTAAAAAAAAAAAAAAAAAAAAAAAAAAAAGAATTAATCCTGTTTACCCCAAATGAGCTTTCTGTGTGGCTGGAGTAATACATACCTGTAATTTTATCCTACCTCTAAATCTACAAATGAATTAGAATCTCATTACTGCATGACATTCAGATCAGGCTGCATATCTTTACCTTCTCTACTGGGAATGAACGAGGTGATGAATCCAAGAAGGAAAATACAGCTACCAGATTACATTTGCTAGTGACTGTAGAGTAGATCTGTGCCAAACCCAAACTAACAGAAAAAGGTCAAATTTACCTTAAGTGAAGAAAGCCAAACCTTCCTGGATGCTTGTAATGGGGATGTTTACATGCAGAGGTAATAGCAGGCTAAAAATGATATAAAATTCACTAGAAACATTGGTAATGAAAGTGCCATTTGCCAAAACTGGCAGCTGTAGCATGTATTCAGCTTACTCCTTTGTGAATCTGGGTGCTCTAGCTCCATCCCACCAGCTCTGCATCCTCAGAACCACAGTGACAGTATCACTTGTAACCTGTGCCACTCCTGCCTAGGTAGACATTAACTAAGTAAAGGTGTCACAGCTTGTAGAGGACTATTGTTCCTGAAGTTGAAAATGATGAATTTTTAATTACCTTGTTTATAATTATCATATAATTGTGATTTTACTCTTCAAAGAGGGAATGCTTCTTAGCTTTCCAAACATCAAAACCTGACACAAGCAACAGGATGAACTGAAACCTAAAAAAAAATAAGACCTACACATCTCTTGGGGCTGCCCAGTTTGACTTCCTGTGGCTGTTTGCTGTGTATTTGATGACAGTCCATTCTCACAGATGGAGCAGTTTGTACTGCGCACAGGGTCTGCCAGCCTCATTCCT